GAAATGGCTTAGTATCTGCAATTTAATACATAAAAATAGTGTTTACTCCAAAAGCATCCTCAGGTAAAAAAGGAATTTATTATTATGGAAAAGGCCAGGTTATGTATGAAAACCCAATATTAATAAATTTTATTGCCTCAGTATCATAGGTCTGCAATGCTTACAAAGAGCTACAGCTTCAAATGCTTAGCCTGTGCACTTATTCCATGCCAAAAATGCTTGGTAGAGTTTTCCTAACATTAGGAAAATATAAATTAAAATATAAATTGTTATAATAATATTTAACATTGTATCACAGTTCTTGTGTCATTTCTGCCTGTTCAAGCAAGAAGGTAAACTGTTCTGACCTTTGCATTTTCCTTTATGAACCATCTTAACTTTATGGCCACGACACTTTGCAAACTGTAGAAGGCATCGACTGCTGTATGTTCTTCCATCGCTGCCACAAACCGGATTGGTCCCAGGCTCATCAATCAGACACGTAATTTTAGATTTGCACATATTGCCTCCAACTTCCTGAAAAAAAAAAAATCAACACGTAAGTCAACTCAAGTATATTAACTTAACTTATTAACTCTGAACATACTGTTGCTTGCATAATGTTTATTTATAATAATTTAACAAAATCAGTTAGTAAGAACCTTTTACCGGTCAGAGTCTTATCAATGCATCAAGAAATCACTGTTAAATTAGAACCTGTAAATTCACCAGTGATATACAACACCCTGCAACTCTATAAGTATATTCACATGTTTTTCTTCAAGGGGTGAAAAAGTTTTGAAGAATGCGAACAGGGCATTTTATTGAAAATATTTTTTTGACTATATTGAGAAATAGCAAATACAATACAATGAAAAAATAATATTGGGGGAAAAAATACAAGATGCTGGTTTTCTTAACCCAAATTTGATAACTGATAATTACAAGTAAATAATTCCTTACTTCGAGCTTTCTTATGTAGAGCACAGGTAGGGTTGAGGAGAGGGGAAGACCACCCCACCTGCTTCCATCTGGAAAATCTAAATTTACTTATGCTCTCAGAATTCAGATAGCATTGCCTTAACTTGTTGTGTCTGTGGCTATAGAGCTCATCACAAGTTTTGGTATCTGTCCCTAGAAGGCTAGCCAAATTAAAATCCTTTTAGGTTAATTAGAACATTGTTATCTTTCCAAATCGCTGCTGTCCCTGAGGTCAGTTTGGTTAAGTGATTATAACAGCTTGAATTTTATTTGTCTGAACAACTTTGACACCTTGGTCTGGTGGCAAGTTTATAATTGTCTAGTTTTGTTGTGCAGTGCAGCCAGAGGCAAATATAAAAATATTCTATGCCCACTTGTAATCAAAAGACAGCTGGAGTGTGTGGGTTGAAATTGGCCTAGGTCCTGGTCAGCCTGCAGGCTTTATTGAAATCAGGCGATCAAAAGGTGTTAATCTCAGCTGAAAAATTCCCACCAGCTAAACCCTTAAGATTGGTCTGACAGCTGTAGTCTCAGTATAATAGATACAGAGACACAGGTGCCTCCCTTCTTTAAGCACAGTAAGGTTATTTATATTTTATGAACATTAAAGCTCTCTTAGAGCCCTTCCCAGGTGCCATTAGTCCCAGCCCGAGTGTTGAAGCTGTGTTCCACTTCTTTGTGTTCTATGCACTTGGTTTTTTAACTCATTGCTTTGTACCAAGCTCGGCTCTTGGAGCTCAGGTTTTGGGGAAAATTATTATACACCCCTTCATTCCAAAACCACACAAGTTCAAACCTGAAAAAAAATTCTTGAGTAATATTTTTTTTTGATGAAAACAACAGAAAAACAGTACTGCATAAAAGTAGTATTCAATTGCTTTCATGTAAGCAGTGTTCACACATAGATTTCTTTCGTGAAAGTGGAAGTTAGCTTAAATTTGCTAACTTAATGAGATGTTTTATTCAATGCTGTCGATTTTCCTCAGGCTAGTTAAAAAATACTTCACTCAGGAAAACTTTGATCACAAAATTGAAAATTTCAGAATCCTCGAATATCGCTACATTTGCAAGTAAAGAAAAGTAACATTTGAGGTGACTTTGTAACTTTATTTCAACATTTGTTCACTTCACTTTTGAGGTGCTCACACTGGGCATAACATTTCTCAGCTAGATGTCTGCTGTCAGGTTATTTAAGTACAATGTTGATGTTAATATCATTACAAACAAGACATAACCAAGTTATCTCAGAGTAACTTATTATTGCAGCGGTAGAGGACTGATATATGTACAGTTTTTTTCAGCACCATGATTAGGAAAAAAACACTGAAGATTCATTAAAATATGCCAAGACTAGTGGAAAGTTTCACAAGTTTAATTCTACTCAGCTTGTTTACTTGGTTATTTCAAATTGTCGTGATGTGCTGTCGCACCCTGAATGTGTGAGTTTCAGTGATGTGTTATGGTAGAGTAAACATTGAACTAAAGCTGCAACTATTTTATTGGAAGTTCTCCAAGAGACAACCATCTTAGTGTGGTATCAGATTTTTGATTTGAACAAACCACATAACATAGTTATTTCTACGACATGTAACAAACAGGCCAAGTTATGTTCAAAACACTAAAAGCCCATTTAAAACTTTCCTTATTGAGTCTATGACAATCAAATTTTAAAGTAGCTACGTATAATTTACTATTATTTTTCTGGCAGATTCCAATCTATTCCTTAGAACTGGAGATTGAGGGAAACATTTCACAACTCTTTGCTTGAGTGATGAAATACAATGCTGCAGTATCAACAAAGCATAATTGTGTGATATTTAAAGCATCTAATTTCACAAGACAACAGGACTCTGTCTCCCCAATTTCAGATATATTTTAAGTGACAATAGAAGTTCCCAGAGTGTTGAAGTTATGTACACTGTAAATTATAAAGACAACAGTTTTCTGTTCATGAAATTCAAAGGCCACACTTCGTCACAGCTGTTTTTCATCAAAAAATGTTGAACAATAAATTCAAAGCTTACATATCAACAGTTCTCTCGGAATAACTTTTCTTTGCCTGTATATTTTTTTTAATGAGCTTTAGCTTTCATAAACTGCATATTTGATACACAGTGATGTCTTAAACACTTGTGTTATCTGACAAAAAATAGCAGACCGACTGTTTAAGTATCTCTTCGAGAAAATGCAAATTATTCGGAGTGTAAAGCATTTCCCAGGTGCTAAGCTTTGTCCTCTCCTTTTCAGACAAGTAAACTTGCGTCCTATATCAAAGAGGTGTCCATCTTATATATTGACGGTTTCTGGGAAGCTAATATTTTCAGCTACGCACGTGCCTCTATCAGGTTGTCTGCCCGAAATGTACACGGGCATTTTCGCCATCACGCGATTTGCGACTGCACGAGACCACTGCGTGAGTAGACGGTTTCGAAATTCATTTCGAGTCACTGAAAAATGCGTAACATTTGTTGGACCTTACCAGATATTTCTCTTAACACAACTGAACCAGCGTAAAATATTACATTTGATAGGAGGTGGGCACATCAGAGGTTGTAATCGGATAGCGAAATCGCCAACCATGACTGCGAACACATAATAATATATTCAACTCGGCGGGAAGGTAGTAGAGGCGTTGGACGTGTTGCGTCACACACCCTGCTCGCGAACTAAACATGTACAATTGAACGTATTATAATACTTGTCTGTCGTGAAAGACTCCACGAAAGTATTACGAAGTCAAACGATACAATCGTTCGACTGTTAATCAATTTAAGTCAATTCTTTTAGCCTGGTGGAATGCGAACGACGTACAAAATATAGTCTTATTTCTGTTGAGGTCAATTCAATCTTTGTTGCTGGCATTCTTTAATCTTTCGATGGTTTTGAGCAATCGAGCGTTCTCTTCGCGTAAAACTTCGTTTTCAACCTTCACACGGTAGTTCTCGTCCTCCAGATATTCAGCGCGTATCTGAGTTTCAAGTTCTCGTACGCGCCTCGCGTCCCTGGAGCGCTTAGCGGAAGCATTATTCCGTTGTCTTTTCTCCCAATATCTTTGATCTTTTCCAACTCCTTCGCTTAAGTTACCATTCTTCAAATCTCCTCGTCTGCCACGAGATTTACCTGACGGGAAAGCGAGATGTGAATGTCCAGAAGGCGCGACTGTATCTTCGCTAGATGAGCTGGAGCGCTCTTTACGAGGTAATTCTTCACTCGAGTCAGACTGGCAATCTGACTCTCCTTTGGCCATCTTGTGGCTATCACGTTCGCCTTCGTTCAATAACGACAAGCGGGGATTCGAAAACGACTGAAGAGAAACCACTTTCAAGATATCGTTGATCGAATTCTCGCCGAAATAAGGGATTCGTCGAGCATAAACAGCTGGATCTTCGCTCAACTTGCGCGAGCCATTGCAAAATCCGTTCGTTGTTTTTTCTTTAGATCTTTCCGAATTCGACGAGGTTGAGTCATCCGAACTTACGCTTCGCGAACGTTTCCGCGAACGCCTCTGTCCCCGCGAACCCTCCTCTTCCATTAGAACTATTCCACGTTGCTTGCTTGTAATAACGAGTTCTAAACCTTCGAGATTCGAAGCGATGTTCAGTCGTCCTTTGAAAGTGCACACAAGACGGAATGCATTGAACTTAAACCTTTGACACGCGATTATGTCATTCAGAAAAACAAGCCATTGAGCGTGCGCAAAGCGATTTTAACAATACCATGATTGACAGAATGCGAAGGACAACAGGCAAAATGTTATATAACTAATGTCAATTATCATGCTAAGTTTCTGATCGGCCGAGCCTATTGGAACACGCGATAGATCGTTATGCAACTCCACGACCGAAATACTTCCGAAATCTGCACACACGCGAGATACAGCCAATTTTCCTTATGCAGATTGTGATCGTGTTTGTTTTCATGCGGAATTCGCAAATTCGTCAGGTTTTCTGTTCGGTTTCTGTCTAAGTTTCTTTGTCTGTCGAAAACTCAAGGCTAATTGGGCTAAAATGTTTATACTCAGCAGATTTTAAGAGTTTGAGTGAAAGGTAACCCTTGATTAAGTAAACAATAAACTATATTATAAATTATATGTTCCGGAGAGACAATTGCCCAATTCTATGGCTCAGTTCGTTTGCTTGCTTAATACTGATATCAGACTAAAAATTCAAGTGGAGATCGGAATTGAAAAACAGTTTGACTTCCTGCGTCTTTAGTGAGCCTTTCCTCAACCATTTAACCTTTATTTCTATATATAAACCTCGAGATCTGAATTTCTGGTTGACTTGGTACGGACAAAACATAAAACCTGCAGGCTGATCTAAATGGAATTATAAATCAATGCACAGGACAGCTGTTTTGTTCGCCAAGCACGTACGCTACATGAATAATTAATTAGATTTCACAGCGCAGTGAGTGCACGTGTTTCTTCAGCACGCGCAAGACCGATTGCTAAGAGGAAAAAAAACAAACAACATGGCGGCTTTGACTTTTACAAACCGAAGCGCTTTCGGTTCCAACCGTGGAAGCAATAAATAAAGCGTACTCTTTTGTTACTCGGCAAAGTTGTCGCGTATTTTTTTCGTAAACAGATTACAGTAAAAGGGATGTACAAAGGGCTACTCTCTTTAAAAGCTAAATTGGAATGTGCCAAAATGTTTAAGCTGTTTTTGGTAGGTCTAAAAAAGGCATACATTTTTTTCACTATTTTGGTCTGAAATAGGGTACGAGTTTTACACTCTGGCCTGGAATTAGGTATGATGTTTAATTAAACCGGCAATTTGTTTTCCTCATTTCATCGAGAAATTTACGGCCCTTCACAAAGGTTTAAGTTCTTCCTCTGGTTAGCCGAAGATAAACATTCTCCATTTCAAAAAACTACCCTCACATCCCCACATAAAATATCGGTGAGTACCCCGGGTATGAGCAGTCCATGAATAGTCAATCGGATGAGACAAATAAACAAACAAGTTCTCTCGTTAATTTTTTCCTTCCTTTCAATCTATATCTACAAGGGCTGGTAACAGATCGGGTTTCCTTTTTTTAAGCCAGAACGTATTAAACCCTGGGGAAAATCGATGGGGTGTGAGAACAGATTCGTACAATCACACAGTATATTCTCATAACAAGTGTGTTTCTTTTTGTTTAAGTATTCTATAGAGAAATGAGATTCCGATCAATAGTAGCGCTAAAAGGAAAATGGAGTCCCGGCGGTTCACCGTCTTGATTTTTATTTCTTCATCTCTTTGCATGGGTCAAGAATATAAAGTGCGGAGGACAGTTAATCCATGAATCCTCGTTGTATACGAGGTTTGATAAATAACAAACGAGGGGAGTTTGCCATAATCATGTCTGTTAAAGGAGCCACATCACGCTTTGCCCATCTTGAAAAGTCAGGTTGGTCGTTTGCAATCCATGTTAATCTTCTCCATCCTCCACCATCCCTCTTTCTTTGTGGTTTATTATTAACTCTTTGGTGTTTTTCGATCTTAGGTAACTGCTATTTTCAAATTTCCTTCAGTTTGAAGGCAATTTTGTGAGTGGCCAAAATGACTCAAATACCGTGAGTGGGCTTCTTTAAATTCTTCAGTCGACTGTATGATGTGGAGACTTCAGTTTGATGTAAATGAAGTGATGGTTGGAAAAGACGGGAAAATTTCTGGCGCGGCGTTCACCTTTTGAGTTGAATGAAACAAGTTTAACAAGTGTGGAAAGCGGGCGAGACAGTTTTCGTTTGAAATATTCCTTGCGGGGCACTAAAACACCTCTATAAAAGTCGTTTATATTCCGTTTATATTCTGGAAAATTATGACAAACGAGAAAGGTCTACAGGAAGATCCAAGGTAGTACGTAGCGTTGCTGAAAATTATATGCCTTGTGCAAGTCAAGTAAAGCATTTTGTAAACGAGATTGTCGGTCATCATCAAACAACAACTGCGTTGGTCAGAATCGATAAAGTTCACTGAAATATCACAGAGCAAGACCCAAATGAAAGGTAACAGACTAAATTGAAGTGCTAAGCTTATTTAATGCTAAGAATCTGTTTTCACTTTCGAAACAAATTGTGCCAGCTTTTAGATCTTACCGGCGTGGAATTTTGCTGCTTATGTACTTTATTCAGTCGCTTTTAATGCATATTTGAGCCTTTTGAAATGCGTAGTTGCTGCGTAGCGAGCGAGCATCAACATAATCAGGATTTAAGAAGAATACAAAGAAGGGGGTACGAATTCTCGAATTCATCACTTTTGACCAGAATGCATTGCATATAACCAGAGTGCACTGCGCCAATTTTTACCAGAGTGCAATGCACCACAAACAACACTGGGATGTCACACTGGTCGAGCCGTCGTCCTTTTCAGTGAGAAAGGTTGCTCTGATTTACCTGTAAAGCGATGTGAAGGAGATCGTGCTTGACTTTGACAACTCTTCCTTTTGTTCCTAATGCAGTATGTGAAAGTTTGTAAATCTGGACGATTAATTGCGACATGTTAATCATAAACTTAGTATGTCATTTCTTGCAGTCTTGCCTCCTTGGTCGAATTCTTAAATGAAGAGAAATCGTCGTTACTGAAGCCTGTAGAATAATTAAAACAAACAAAAACCGTAGATCACGCTAATTTCATATATGTCGCCATCTATTCCTTTTCATCCAAACATGAATTTAAGCTTAAGCTTTAGCATTTTCACACATCGCGATGGACACGTCCTCGACACAGTCTGTCAACATTCTACAGAATTTATGAGTTAAATTTCTGCTCCAACAATTTCCACATCTTTCGATTTTCGCGATCTGGTAAAGGGGAGGTTGATGTGTATCGTTTTATGTCCAAACATAGTTCAGATCACTATGTGCTTTTTTGTCTCGATCCCTTGTCACGCGTACCTCGCCGTCGATGGTCATCATGCATGAAGTTGATGCATTCAAAAACATTTTAAGTTACACACCACGATTTGACACTACTTTAAGAAATAAAGGTTAATTTAAGTCTTGGAACGCGCACAAAGATGAATCACTGCGTTAAATATGCCACGATCAACAGAATGTGCCACAGCATTACTATCTTTTAGATACCACAGTTTAGTTTATAATTGTGACATTCTGTGTTTTTTTTATACTTTAATTCTGAGATGGCATTTCCCATTTATACTTTTTTTGAATTTCAACTGAAGAAAGCTCAAATCTGCTTTTTTTCAGCCATTTCTTTCAACCCCTCCACGCACGTCCATATTTATCTTACTCTTATCGTGCAAATATCTCTAAAATGTTACATACTAAGTTATCTAAGTGATGCCTGACAGCAATAAAACATGATTAGTAAAAGAGGCGTGACCGTTTCCACTCTCCGTCTGTAGGAGAGGCAGATTCACACTCATTCAAAGGTGTGAAAAGAGGAAGAACAAGTTTAATTAACCCCATATCTAAATATAAAATTAGTTTGACACATTCGTTTCTATCATCTGATCGTTAGAAGTAACTATCTATGCGGCGATTTCTCGTGAGCGTGCAATATCGGTTGCCAATGCATGGTCCGAAGTCTATACGGGGGCGTGGGGAGTGCTCGCGGGTTAATTAATCCGCGAGACGCACGAGTGTTTGATAACTCAGTCTGGACTTGTTACTGGCGATAATTAAATTGATATATATAATTAAAATAAATAATTAGTGTCATCCATAATTCAAGAGAAAAAAGTCTTTCACTGGTATGGTAAACAATGAGACTTTGCCAAAGTTCGCATTTTAATTAAACAAGGGCACTTTCTAAAACCACGCACGACATGGCGGCCAGAGGTCTCATTAAAGTTACATATTGCGGTAATGTTAAAATCTACCTGTCATTTTCAACGAAAAATGGGAAATAAAGGAAAAAGTATTCTCGAAAAAGGGCGACGTATGAAATAGCTCATGCAACAGGCGTCGCATTTTGGCAATTCTCATACCCGGTGTGCGCGTACTGTCATGTTCGCTTAAGCCTTTCTTAGATTGAAATACGTGCGCATTTTAGATAGAAAGATCTGCTAATACCTAAGGCTGTCATCGCTATCCGTCACAAAAAAAGACCCCTCAAACAATCAAGAATAGTGATGGTAGCCCTTAAATAGCGAACGACAGCTACAAGGACTCTAAGATCGCCGATAAAGGAGCAAGACTAGGCGAGGAGCACGCAAGCTTAACCTTGTTTATTCGTCTCGACCTAACTCAGCCAAAACCAAACACAATTTTTTTTTCTCCTGATCAAGATTATCCGTGGACATTGTCTTATTTTTTTGAGTCATAATCGGCTTCAGTTGTTTTGCGTTTGTTTTGCGGCGTTAGTAAAATGGGATGGTAAACCTTGCTTGCGTCGTCGTGAACAAACTCAGCCGTAAGTGTTTAAGTTTATCTATGGAAACCCAGACCTGATCAGTAAACCGGAACTGCTGTGATATGCACACAACAACCTTAACTGCAATGTTCAGTAGACATTTTTACATTTTTGTTTTATAAAAGATTAAGTCTGTACCAAGTCTGAAGTGGCCCACATCGTGCGAGTTTATCTCGGTTTTTATTGAACACACAGAGACCAGGATTTTTGCCTCGTCTTTTGTCTC